TAATGCTTGCAAAAATAGTGCTCGATCTCGTCACAAATTTTTAAACTTATAGTCTAACTCATTATGGCTTTAAAACTTGTCATCCTCATCATCAATCGTGATAAGATAAAGACCAATTGGCTTCCCTAAGATATTTTTTTTTAATATGCATTATGTGAAATTCTTTCTTTAATAATTAAAATTCTCTTTCCATGTGCAGGGTGCGTGTCTTACTCAATTTTCTGGTTGACCTTTCACACATAGTTGGAGTTGGGATTGGAGGGTTGGAAAAAAATATGTGGAGAAGGAAAAAGTAAATGAGTTTTTCAAAATGTGACCCACTGAGTCTTGACTCGGAACCCATATGGTCAGAATTGAACTATTTTCCTAAGATCATCACTTCTTGTTGAAACTTTAGCAAATCTGTCTATATTGTCACTTTGTGAACCTCATGCTGATGTCATAATTACAAACTATTTCTTTCTTTTTTTTCTTTTTTTTTATTTAAACTTTTGGTGAAAAGGAAAGTAAAGTAAATATGGTGCTTATATGCACAATATTGTAAATGAATGAAACTGATCTTCTGTTCCAGTAAAAGAACATTACATATGATTTTTCTTGTCACATCAGTAGTAAGAAATTTTTATCCTACCTATTGAAGACAGGAGATTAGAAAAGTTTTATCGGATTTTTAAAAAAGTTAATGAAAAAGTGCGATTGTAAATTCAATAAAAGTTATGGATCTCATAGTTTTTCAAACAAGCGTTGAAACCCGATAGAATCCAGTAAGATTATATTTCAGAAGCACGATCGTTAATTAAATAGATTTAGACATGAAATTAATAAATAATATCTATTACTTTCCATAAATAATTATTATAATTTTCTTGCATTTTGCTCCTAAACCCTATTTGGAAATATAATGACAGTGAAGCAATAATTAAGTAACTTAAACTGAATTATTTTGTTCATCCACCAAACATAAAATTCTATAGCCACGCTTCTAATGTTGGGTTATTTGTAAACATATTAATATATCTTTATTAAGGGTATTTGAAGGGTGACCCCAAAGAAATGAGTAGAGACCATTTTCAAGAATTTGATTCACGCCCAAGTTATCTTTATGCATACAATAATTATTAATTATTGGATTAAACTTAGTATGCACCAAATTAAGTCTCATGATTTCTTGTATAGGGACAATTATGGCCATTTTCTCTTCTTTTTATTGGAGAAAAAGTAATTAAAACCAACTTATTTTCTCTCTATAAGCACTTATTTTACATTCTATCCATTTCATTGTGCTTATTTTTTTTGTCACACATACACATACACATACACACGCACACACACAATCATACATCATGATTAAGAGCACAGAAATAAATGCACTCCCTATTTAGATTCAACAATTCTATAAATACAATTGGTTTCAATTTTCTAGATTAACTATGTAGTTTAGATTCTTATAATAAATGAATATTTGTGTTTCAAAATGTTAAACATCAAGGGCCTGTTTGGTAGTGATTTTGAGAATTAATTTTGATATTGTATACTGGATAATATTAATTATAGAAATTAAATTAAAATTTCGATCGTTATGATCTCTTATATTTAGGCGCCCCCTCATATGTTAAAAATGAAAGTTAATCCACATAAAGATTTAGCCTCCCCTAAAAGTTTATAAGTTCTAATTAAACCTAATTTTAACTTTTTTGAAAAATTGATTCAAACTCCAACCTAATCATACCGTCTAGTATTACATACTAGGCCCATTCATTGTAAGAAGAAATACTTCTATGTGAAAATATGGTAAAATTGTTTACTCAAATCATGGTACTTCGGACTTCGAACCATTCAAATCATAACACCTCGAACGTCGAATGGGTCTCTTGCTCTCTCTTACTCAATCGAGCTTGAGATGTCGTGACTTGAGTGATTTAGAATTCAATGTACATAATTTAAATGAATAGTACACCATGCACGTATGTAGAACCGTCTTATTGAAGTATTTCTACTGTGTAACACAAGATTATCTCGTGCAAAACCAGCAAAACTAGCCCACGTACCTGCCCCCACACCCCCTTGGGGGCAGATATATTAAAACTTATTCAATAATATATAATATTGTAGACTGAATAGTATTAAGGTAGAGATTAAATTAAAATATCGATTGTTATGTTCTCTTATATTTAGGCGACCCTCATGTATTAAAATAAAAATTAATCCTAAAAGTTTATATTAAGTTCAACGTAAATTTTAACGTTTTCTAAAATTGATTCAAGCTCCAACCTAATGATATTATGTAGTATTACATAATAGACCCGTTCATTGTAACAAGAGATATTGTATATGCAAACATGTTAAGATTATTCATTCAATTCACGACACTTTGAACTTCGAATCACTCAAATTATAATACCTCGAATGTTGGATAGGTCGCTCGCTAGCTCTCTCTCAATTGACTTTTGAGTCGTCGTGGTTTAACCCCCCTGATGTATTAAAATAAAAGTTAATCCACATAAAGATTTAGCCTACCCTAAAAGTTTATATTAAGTTCAAATTAAACCTAATTTTAACTTTTTATTTTTTTTTAAAAAAAAAATTTGATTAAAGCTCTAACCTAATCATACCATGTATAATTACATGCTAAGCCTGTTCATTGTAACAAGAAATACTTCTATATGAAAATATGGTAAGATTGTTCATTCAAATCATAGCACTTCGAACTTCGAATCACTCAAATCATAACACCTCGAATGTCGGATAGATCAGTCTCTCTCTCTCTCAATCGTTGTTTGAGTTGTCGTGGTTTGAGTTATTTAGAATTCAATGTACATAAATGAATAGCACGTGATACATTCATATAGAATCGTCTTATTGGAGAATTTCTTTGATGTAACACAATATTATCTCGTGCAAAATCCGCGAAACTAACCCCCTACCTAACCACACCCCATTGGGGCAGATATTTTAAAAAGTTTAGGAGGATTTGAGGTGGGAAAGTTGTGAAGGTGGACTAGAAAACATGATAAGGAAACAAAATAAAAATGATGTTAGTCACTAGTGATATGAAATGATTAGAGCTTAGGAATGTTTGGGTGTGCTATGTTGTGGCTATTTCAGACCGTCACTTTCGGGCTCTGACTCTTAGACACTGTATCCGCACGCCCGTTTCCGCGTGGACCCCACTGGTTGACTCTCTTAATTTTTCAAAACCACTAAAATAATAAATAAGTCAACATATGGATCACCACCACCTTCGGCCCATCACCGCCTGCCGCCACCCCCTCCCCACTCACTTCTTTCTTTTGTACCATATTATTATTTAAAAATTCATCGGTAGAAAATGATTCGACTCTTTTGGATTTTTATTATAGATAGATTTATAATTTTAATTGCCTTTTTTTTTTGTCAATAGAACATAAAGGGTCTATATTTGGAATAATTAACCAAACTGAATTTCAGACAGATGTAGTAACATTGTAGTTACGAATAGTTAGGAATTATTTTTAAATGAAATTTAGAAAAAAAATTTCTAGTCTTGAAACCCTCACCTACTATACATATTTTTGGAGGGAGATTGTGTTAAGTTGTAAAGTCTAATTATTCACACTTGTAGTTTTGATTTTGTCAAAATTTTTCTTATAAATAGGAAGCCATCATTAGGATTTTGTATCATCAAAAAGAGAAACTGATGTTAAAGAACATATGGTAAGTGTTTTTATCTTGTAAATTTCTTTTCATCATAATGAATTAATGCAGCACGGACGAGGATATAGTCTCACAAGTATGCATAATACATAAGAATATACTAAATAATGAAAATAAGCTAAATAATTTACATACCTATGTAGAGAAAATTATGATCAAATTAAATTAAAGTATGATAATGGATCTGTGGTCCTTTTTAAAAATAAAACGAATGTAGACATCTCAAGCACAAGTTGCCTGAGGATTAATGACAAACTGATTTGAAACTCTAGTTGTTCAAATTTCTATTTTGTCATCAACTTCAGGGACTCCATATTTGATTTAGATCATAGCTTTCTGAAATTAATATGGTGGCCTTAGTCACTGATATTGACTCTCCCACTATGAGAAACCAAAACTTTCTTTTTACACTCAAAAAAGGAAAAATCTTTCTTTATTTTCTTTTAATTCACTTATTTTCGAAAACACTTAATTATAATTTCTAAGAAAGTCGATATCTCAATCATCTACTCAATCAGGCCAAATTGACTCGATCACTATGAGCATGTATGTTTATTCTTTTTCTCTTCTTTCTTCTATCTTTATATACGTGAAAAATGGTAATTTTGAGTTGTAAAATGTTGGTTTATCAATGAATATATCTCTCTTTAGAAAAAAAGTAACCGAAGGATATTTTTCATTTTTCTCATTACATCGGTCTCTCGCAGAAATTTGCTCATGTAGTATAAAATAATATTCATTTACAACCCTAAACATAATTAAACGCTTGTTTGAGCCTATTTTTTGTGTGTTTTGGAATGATAGATTCATTGAAAATGTGTTGTTAAAATATAAGGAAAAGTTATTAGCTTTGAATGTATTATTATTTTATTGAAAAATATGTGATTCAAAAAAAGAAAGAAAAAAATATATTTTAAAAATAACGAAGATCAAAGAAAGGGTAAGATAATAAAATCTTGGACTTGTAGGTCAAGATTGAGTCCAATTAAACAAATATTATTGCTGACTTTATTCTTTGGAATTTCTAGACTTGCTAAAATAAATGTTTTGAATACAGAATTATTTTGTGGGCATGACGTGGAAATTTGTCTTGTAGCATCGATTGAATATTGACTAGACAGTGTCCAAGAAAGCATATTTGTCTAAGCATTCTATTTATTTATGTAATTGGCTAATTAAGCAAAGGATTAAATTTCCAAATGACATTTCTTTTGAATTGTCTAATCACCCTTAAAAAAGTCAACCAGGAATTCTGGTCAATAATATCTTAGGTTTGATAGTATAAATACTCAGGTGCAGCAAATCGTTTTAATTTCATTTCGTTGAAAAATTACAAAAACCTAATTAAGAAGAGAGGCGGCCTTGCAGAGAATAAGCATCTGAATCAAGAAAAGGAGAGAACCCTACTTTTAGCACTGAAAAAGGAGAGTTCAATTTTCAGACAAGGCCATGGCAGATGAATTTCAGCTAGGAAGTGGAGGAAATTGGTGGGATACATCAAGAAAATTTGAAACTGGATCATCAGCACAAAAATCTACTACTTTAAATAGCGTAGCAAGCTATGGATGGACGAACGAAATGGTGGATGACAAACCAAGAACTTCCATGGATACCGGGACAGTTCCCGGTAGCTCCATGGTGTTGCAAGGGCACGATCAATCTTCCGGTGGCGGCTTATTAGTCGACACCAATATGCATATGATGGCTTTAGGCCTTTCTTCTCAAGCCATGGATTGGAACCAGTCCATATTGTAGGTCTAATTGATTAATTTCAGTTTAACTTTTACTTTCCCAGGTATTTGTTTTCTTGTATGAATGAAATTTCTTCCGTTTTTTGACAGCCATGGAGGTGAAAAAGCGGATAGCAGTTTTCGTTCTATGCTTCAAGAAGATTTGAGTAATTCAAATAGCAATTTTCAGCAAGAAACTGGGACAGCATCTTCTCAAGATCATTGGAGGGAGAAAATATATTCTGCAAGTTCTGAGGATTCTCATGTGAATGAATATAAGCAAACCAGTTTTCCGGTAGATTCCGCTGCCGCCTACGGCCTTCTACTATCTGAAAATCAGCCACAGCATTCGACATACGAAAACCGGCCCATGAATTTCCCTTATCCGACGAACTACGGAACGAACTCAGGAGAATGGACGCCTTCTTGGAACAGATTTCCTCAGACATTCTTAAGAACAACAGTACCTCCAAAACAGCCTTCTGCTAATGTACATTTCACCAATAAAACTCCCTTCTGGAATGCTCCAGGAGCCGATGATGTACGACCAAACTTCTTTTCCTCGTTGCCAACGCCACTTCCTACGCCGGCCTTGGATGAAAAACCGAAGGTATTAATAAAATGTTCTAAAATTTTCATGTAAAAGTATAAGTAGGGTTTCCTTGTTCTTGCTTAAGACAGTAAAATTCGTGTTCATTTTTTCCAAAAGAATACATCAGAAGTTCGGGATTTGAGTACAACAGCAAAGAAAACTAGCACTCAAGCATCAAATAAAAGACTCCGGAATGAAACGCCAACACCTTTGCCAGCTTTTAAGGTAAGCACAATAAATTTATTGAGGAAAAGTGGAAATTTTGATTAGCTTCGGCTTTTCTTAATTCATATAAACAATTAACAAGAAGATAACTTTGTTCTTGATTAGGTGAGAAAAGAGAAGATGGGAGACAGAATCACTGCACTTCAACAATTAGTTTCACCTTTTGGAAAGGTATGTTAAGAATTCCGAAAGTTTTCTTCACTTTAACTCATTTTTTATTTGAAAACTTCCATGTATAATGACTAACTATTGAATCCGATTTCTCAGACTGATACGGCTTCCGTGCTTTCTGAAGCTATCGATTACATAAAATCGCTACATGAACGAATCGGCGTAAGCTTCATAGAACATATTTTACCAATCGTATAATTTTACCGGATTGAATGAGCTTATAAAATCAAGCTTTTGTACTAATAATATTTGTTCTTGTGTATAATGTCAGACTTTAAGTGCCCCATACATGAAAAGTGTTGCTCCAATACAACCCCAGCAGGTACAGAAATAGTTAATTAATTTCTTGCATCATATTAATGTCACAGTGATTAAGATTTGAAAATAGAAAAGCTATTATTCTTAATCTTGTTAGTTAAATGCTTATCAAGGTTGAAGATCTCTCATATTTTCTTCCTCATTTCTTCAGAATTCTGATAAATCTAAGGTTCCTGATCAAGGACCGCGACAAGATCTTAGAAGCCGAGGGCTATGTTTAGTACCGGTTTCATGCACTTATCCTTTCACTCATGATACAGCGGTCGATTTTTGGACCCCGGCATTTTCGGGACCTTTCAGATAAGATGAGAATCACAAGAAGGCAACATTAACACCCAGGAATGGAACCTAATTTTATGCAGCAACTGGCTTATTTGAAACCCTAGCTAGCAAAGAATAGGAAAAGATAGGAAAACTATGGACCTCCTGACTTTGTACCAAAAAAAAAAAAGGCTAAGAAATGCGCAAGGATAAAGGAAAAAACCCCATTAGAAGATAGAAGAGTGTTGGGCCAGCTTAGCTACAGGCAAAATGATGCTGCTTTGGCTACAATTAGAATTAGGCACCATTAATGTATGCAAATATGGTCTTTTAATAATTGAAGAATTATTATTAATGTTTGGTGAGCTAGGATTAGATTAGAAATCATTAATTTGTTGTTTGTAACTGAATTTAATTAGCAGAAAGGAAAAGGGTAAAGGAGCTTTTGTTGCAGGCCTGTGTCTTTTGAAATATTGCATAAAGCTGGCAATTAACTTTAGTTTAAAAGAAAATGAAAGGAATAATTGAATTCCAGAACAGGATTGTGTGTGGGGTTCATATCATTTGATTGGAAATATCACTTTTGAATTGTTTATGTCTGGAATATGTTAGTGGAAGTCAGAAGGTCGCCCTTTGCCCCTACCCATGGGATAGAGGGACATGAGGACGAAGTCGACTATTCCCGCAACATTTTCAATTTTTATTTTTTTTTCTGAATACGAATAATACTAAAATATTTTGTCTCTTTATTTTTTTTTTTATTATTATTATTTTTTGGGTTGGTCCGAATCACATTTTAACATGAACATTCAAAATCTAACCATTTGTAGAGAGTAAAATTGCAGAAATTACAAACTAACAAGATAAAGGAATTTTCAACCATTGAGGAGTCCGGATGTTCACTTCTCTAAATGTCACTCACCCATTGAGCATCTACAAGTAGATATCACTAAAATCAGCAAATAATGGCGCAATACAAATGTATGAAGAAAAAAAAAATTATTCAATAATTTACTCTCGCCTCACATACGAAATTCACCATAATATACGATACTCAATCTCACAAAGCGTACACTAAGTACATCAATGATTCCACTCAAGACTTTACGGAGATTGATGAACAGACAGATAGAAATTCCATTCACTTTGGGAGTGGATATACTTTGTTACCATTAAAATTTATTTTGGTAAATCCTCTGTGAATTCTTATATCATGTTTATTATCTAGTTCTCTTAAGGAAATTATATTTCTTTGCAGGTCACACACATACCTAAACGCAACCAATTCAAAAATATGACTTTTTTTCCAATAAAAGATTAAGTTTTCACTTTCTTTTATTTGACAACTTATATCATTTTTCCTGTGAACTTATCCACCATTTAAGTCAAAACCATTCTTTTATGGAACACTTGTGAAAATTTCTGCCAAAGTCAAGAATCCATTCATTTGAATTTCTTATGGCTATAGTAAAGAACGAGTCCTTATTTATCAGAGTTGAATTTCTCTTTCACGTTAGAACCTTTTTTGAAACAATCTTTTATAAAGTGGCTAGTCTTTCCACATTAATAGCATTTTTTGATTTTTTTTCCTTAAGTTTTCCTTTATTCTTTTTTTATATCTTTGAACTTATTATTATGAGATTTTCCTATCTTATAAGAGTTAAAATTAATAAAATTATTACTCTTATTTTGGTTCGATCTTCCTTTTACATTTAACACTTCACCATTCTTAGAATCTTTGAATTTAGATTTTAATTCAAGTTCTCTATTTTTTAGAATTTAGACTATGATATCCATAGAAAGATCCTCTCACTCCCACACTCTAATGCTTTGCTTTCCTAATTTCCCTATATTTATCACCCAAGGAATTTAATAGAGCTACAACTTGCTAATTGATGAGTGTATTTCACTCATACTTTAGATACCATCCAAATTTGATATTTACCTATTTCCTACGAGTTTTAGAGCATTTTAGTGTGTATTTTGATGTTATAATATAGGTTGATGAAATTAAAGGAAATAGCAAAAGTAGGCAAGATTGGAAAGGGGACTAAATTGTAAGAGATCCAAGGTTCGGGAACTAAATTGCAAACACTCAAAAGTTGTGTCAAACCTCATGATGAAGATTTGGGAGTTTTAAGAGTTAATTGGATGAAGAAAGATGTCAAAGGGATCAAATATAATCAAAGTACTGTCATACATCAATTTTCAATCGAAAAAGTTATACTTTGAATTTTTAATCTCACATTGAGACCCATTTTGACTTAGCAAACGATCAAATTTAAACATTATATCAGAAGCAAAGTTGTAGCCATAATACATTTTGAATCGGCTCAATTGGATATAGGAAGAAAGATTTATGACAAAAATACTGAAAGATATACAGTGTTGTCTTCCACCCGAAGTGGGCGCTGCAGCGCCCATGTTGCTGAAAATAATAGAATTTGCATAGCGGAGCTGAGATGCCTTGCAAGAAAAGTGTTTTTTAAATTTTTTTGAATTCTCTTCTTGTTCCAATTCAACTCTAATTCGTCCAAAACTTCAAGACGTTATAAATAAAACTTTAGAGACTACTTTTTAACAAGAAGAAAGGGAGAATTCAACCGGGTAAGAAGGAGGCAAAGGCAACTTGGTGAAAAAGATTGATTCAACCATCCAAAAAATAGTTTTATCTTTCTTCTCTTCATGTTATTCTTTATGAATTGTGTAGAATTCATGGCTTTTATCATGAACTAAACATCTAATCTAGAGTTTGATTAGCCAAAACTTGAGAGTATGATTTGAATTTATTTTAGTTATCTTTTGAAATTTTCAATTCCGTTTATTTGTGTTATGATTTCAATTCTTTCGATTAATTGGTCACTATTAGTCAATTTCGACACTCAAGAAAGGAAAATTTAGCCACGATTATAAGATTAACACAACATAGATTTTATGGGTTTAAAGAGAAAGTGTAGAATCTATGAAACTTACACCATAAACGAATCATGATCTTGATAAATATTTGGTTTTAATTCGAAATAGAGATATTGGCATTGAAATCTAAGATTAATTTCTAACTGGCATTCAAGAAAGGGGATAGAAATACAATTGTGTTCTTGCTTATAAACTTTGAAAAATTGATTATAAATAATTATATAATTGAGAATCATATTTGATAGTTAGTTGAAATCACAACTCTAGGTTTTCTTATCTTGATTATTCTTCTAATTTGCAATTAATTGTTGAGTTTATCATCACATATATTTTATTAACTTATTTAAAACCAATGATTCAAAATTTCATTCATTTAGATAAAATAAGAGCTACACAATTATAGTACTTAGTTACATCCTAATTCCATTCATATACCACAAAACTTGACACCATACAACTGCATTATAAATCACATTATAAAAAATGCATGGCAAGTATCATCTGACAATTTTTCATTATAGTTAGATAAATCTTGAATCAATTTTGTGAACTTATCGATGTTTTCTTCTAGGCCAGAGAAAAGTCAAACCTAAATTTATAAAATTGTCTCAGGAGATAGCACTTATATAACATTGTCCTAGTTAGGAAAAGTGTTCCTAACTTTGGCTGCAGTACGTAAATGGTAGTTTTTTGAGCTTTCCTTATCACACTATCAGATAGGTGAAGAATCATGGAGCTTGGGACTATCTCATTTTCTTGCCTCCTAGAAGCACTAATCTTAGTGACCCAAACCCCATCAACAGTAGTAGTACACTTCTGTTGTAACAATAGAGCCCTCATCTTCTGGCACTAGATACTAAAGTTAGCAGTACCATTCCACATTTCATCGTCAAACTTATATGCAGTTGACATTTTAACAAGTCAAGTCACATGATCAAATGTATACCCCACAAAAAGTATATCACAATTAAGCAATGTGAGAAATTTACAAAATATGCAAGTTCTAAAGTGAGAAATAAGAATAGAGTAAGTTCTACTTATCTTACAATTTATGAAAATTGTAAAATAGATTATATAATCCAAGTTCCTAGAAAACAAAGCAGAATTATATAACAACAAATAAAAATTATAAATACAAGTGGTTTATCAATGAAATGTAAATTTGACAAGTTTAAGGAGTGGGACCATTTGGTTTACTGCTTCCTAAGATTCCCAAGTGCTCGCAAGAGATTTTGGACAAAGGTAAATAGTGATAGATCTCTTACCTTAATAACCAATTTATATTCAGACGGTATAGAGAATTTGAACAATACAAATGTGAAAGGGTAAGAGATTATACCAGAGTAAAAAACTTAATGTTTCAGAATGAAGGGGATTATTAAAGAATACCAAAAACGAACTAGAATCTTCAAATTCTATAAAGCAACCCAACGAATAAAAAATTCTCAGAGAATAAGTCAAGAAATCAGTAGGAATTGGAGTGAGTCAACACAACTAACCAATAACCAAAACGAGTTACAAAAAACCATCACAACTCAATAGTGAGTTGTTAAAGGAATCGCTAGAACTCAATGACAAATACAAGAATCTTTCAAATCAAATCAAGGTTTTCAAAAGAAATTCCAAGAAACCTCGAGAATACTAACGTATATTTTAAAATCTTTCATATCTAACACAGAAAAAACATAGAGCATCAAGAGGATTCAACCAAAGGTTGAATTGAAGTTAGATCAATAAATCTCATTTCAAAAAACATAGTATGTTTTCACAAATAGTTTAAAAATCAAAACGATTTACAAGATTCGCATATTTTGAAAAAACTAGGGTTTCAAGAAATCACGGAACTTTAACGCCCTTTTTAAAAAACAGATTTGATACCACTTGCTGGTTCCAATTGCGTTTAAATAAAAGAAATTCAAAACTAAATCGTTTGCAGAAAGTAAAATCATAAAAATTAAAAAGTAACACACAAAGGAATTTTCACACACTAAGGGGTCAAAATGTTCACGTGCTCAAAACGCTACTCACTCATTGAGCATCTATAAGTAGATATCGCTCAAATCCACTGAAATTAGCTAAGAGTGGTGCATTACAAACGTATGAAGGGATTTCTTCAATGTTTTACACTCATCTCACATACAAAGTTCATCACAGTAAACTACACTCAATCTCACGGATTATAGACTAAGTACATCAAAGAACCCACTCAAGATTTTATAGAGATTGAAAAAACAGATAGATAGAAAAATGAATAATACGCTCATATATTCATTTGAAAACGAGGCCAAAGGAGCCTTTTATATGGCACCTCAAAATTTAGATCCAACACCCACAAATGCACCATGTGTAAGGTCAGATCTCATCACCAATATATATAAGATCGAAAGCTTGTTTCAAAGAATGTGTTTTTTCAAGTTACAAGCTAAACCTGGATTACACAAATAGGCCCAAGTAAAATAGTGAGACAGCCTAACTAATATCTTCTTTACGTGATAATCCTGACTATGTCACTATCCACCACCCGTCCTATCTGACACCCTCTTTTGATTTTGTATATTTTACATACACTCTTATCTTAAATAAGAAAGGGAATAGGATATATATATCATGAGAAGTAGCCATC